TTACCATTTTAATGAATTTTAAGTGTACATTCGGAGGCATTAAGTACATTAACATTGTTGTGCAACCATTGCACCATAGCTCCCCATTCCCTCCTCCCTCCTTCCCCTGAAAACCACTATTCTTTGTCTCTATGAATTTTATTACTCTTATATAAGTACAATCATATTTATCCTTCTGTGTCTTGCTTATTTCACTTAGCATAATATCTTAAAGGCTCATCTCTGTAGTTTGCTGAAAGGGTGCTTTTTGTTTGTTTTGTTTTGTTTTTGAGACAGAGTCTCTGTCACCCAGGCTGGAGTGCAGTGGCATGATCTCAGTTCACTACAACCTCCACCTCCTGGATTCAAGCAATTCTCCTGCCTCAGCCTTTCAAGTAGGTAGGACACAGGTGCCTGCCACCACGCCCAGCTAATTTTTTGTATTTTTAGTAGAGATGGGGTTTCACCATGTTAGCAAGGATGGTCTCGATCTCCTGACCTCATCATGATCTGCCTGCCTTGGCCTCCCAAAGGCTGGGATTACAGGCATGAGCCACCACACCCAGCCCAAAAGGGTTTTAATCAAAGGAAAATTGTGATCATAATAGCATTTTTTCTTTCTTTACCTTTTTTTTTCTTTTTCTTTTATGTGATGGTTCATACTGACATAACAGCATTTTTAAGAGATCACTCTGGCTACTGTGTGAATGAGTAAAAAGAAAAAAGTGGATGAAGTAAAATCAAGTAGGCAGGTGGAAAACTGGTAGATTGTACCAGAGAGAGGGATTGAAATGAATAGACTCAAGAAAGTAGAGCCAGCTGGACATGGTGTTATGTATAGGTTAACTGAAAATAAGTGGTGTCTCCTAGCAGCCTGGGATTGGGAATATTATAAGAAATACAGTGATCCTTGACTAAGGATGGCATTACATCCCAGTAAACCCATTGTAAATTGAAAATATCATCAATTGAAAATGCATTTGATATATCTAACCTACTGAACATCATAGTTTAGCCTAACCTATGTTAAATGTGCACAGAACACTTAACATTAGTCTATGGGGCAAAATCATCTAACACAAATTCTATTTTATAATAAAGTATTGAGTATCTCATATAATTTATTGAATACTGAAAGTGAAAAACATGGTTACATGGGTACAGTATGGTTCCTATTGAACACATATAGTTTTGCCATCATTGTGAAATGAAAAAATTTTAAATTGAGTCATCCTAAGTCAGGGACTATCTGGGTTTGAAGGTACTGTGGCATGACTATGAAGTCTGTTTTGGACATGTAACATTTGATGTTCCTGTCATGCATCCAAGAGGAGGTATAGAAGAAGGTGTTAGATATAGAAGTCTGGAGCCTAGAAAAGAGACCCAACCAAGTTATATGAATTTATAATCCATTAGCATATAGATAGCATTTGAAGGCATGAGAGTGGATAAGATCCCCTATGGAAAAGAATGTAGAGTAGAGAAAAAAAAGAGCCTAATACTGAACTCTGAGAAACTCCAGCATTTAAAGGAAGCATGAAAAAATTAGGCTTTTCTACGTTTGAAAGAAAATTTACTTAGACACATTCACCCAATAGGAGGAAGAGTTACATGTCTTTCTTTGTTATGCCATCTAGCCTTCATAAACCAGAGCTCAAATCTGTTAGGTTATATTCAAAGACAAGGCAGATCCACTTCTTTTTTTTTTTTTTTTCTTTTCTTGAGACAGAGTCTTGGTCTGTTGCCCAGGCTGGAGTACAGTGGTGCAATTTTGGCTTGCTGCAACCTCTGCCTTCTAGGTTCAAGTGATTTTCATGCCTCAGCCTCCTAAGTAGCTGGGACTACAGGCATGTACCACCATGCCTGGCTAAATTCTGTATTTTTAGTGGAGACGGGTTTTCGCCATGTTGGCCAGGCTGGTCTCGAACTCCTGACCTAAAAAGATCTGCCCACCTCAGCCTCCCAAAGTGCTGGGATTACTGGTGTGAGCCATGGCACCCGGCCAGACACTGTGACTGGCCCAGATCCACTTCTTGAGCAAGTTACTAATACGCCACTTAGAAGCCTTCCAAGTTATTAACATGCCACTTAGAAGCCTTCCTACAGCAGATTACCTAGAATTTGGCTAGGTTCTGTCTCAGTTAAGGAAAAACTGAATTATTTATCTGCCTGCATATACTAGTGTGTATAAATGGGAGGTCGGTTAAATTCTGGCTAGATAAATGATGCTTGGTCAAATCCCATTTCCAAATACAGTATTCATTAAAGACAGCTTTACCTTCACCATTCACGAATCATCATTTGCATTCCAATTGTAATGATTTAAAGAGATGTATTTATTATGGGATAGCAATCTTTGATGACTGCAACAAATAATAAAGTTACAAATTTATAAAGTTATAAATTATATGTAAAATTTATAATAAAAGGGATTCATGGAGTTTGTAATGAAAATACTGAATGGTGAAGAGGGTGATATAGTGGCATTAATAGTTAATAGTTGTTAGTTACATGCCTTATACAGAAACCAATTATCAAAGTAAGAAATATTCAGAAGTAATTCATTAGCAACATGTAGACAAAGCCTTAGCAAGCACCTATTTGAAAAGCATGTATCATGTTACTGTTAAAAATAAAACAGCTCTGTATCTGTGTACCCTTATCTTCCTGTCTGGTGGTATCAAGTGATGGTGGAATAATCATAATGAGGCATATTGAGGATGTCTCCAGTTTAGGACTAGAAAGTCCTAAGCTAGTCTCTAACTAGAAACTAGTCGCTCAGTTAACAAAACTCTAATGAGTAAGTCAGTTCTAAATAATTTTCTATAACAATGTACATTTATTTGTAGCTGGAAAATAACTAATTGATGATTCTGTTATGAACCCAAATTAATGCTGAACAATATTGCAAATGTCATTTTCATTTGTAAAGTCTAAATTATAGGTTCTTCTGGTCTGATCTATTTGTAATTTGCTGAAATCACTAGTTCCTATATATGGAAGCAATATGAAACCAGTGTCCATTTGTATCCATAAGTTATTCAGATGCTTAAAACTTTTACTTGAATAAAAGTTAATGGATATCTGGAATCTGTGATTCTGAAACTAAGTTTGTTCCTGTGCCAAAATAATAATAATTTCTGAACTTATGTTTCAGTGTCAAGTGGTTATTCATGAGGCTATATATGTAAAGGATTGATATATGTGATAAATTGGACTTTTTCCTTAGAATTCATTTTTGGAATCTTCTATAAAGGATATCTGTCTGAATTAATTTATATGAATATTTGATATGCAAATATTAATATTTCAAATGGCAAAAGATAAGATTTTTAAAAATACAGATTATGAAGGACATTTTTCAAGAGATAATGAATGTCTTCATTTTTTCATTTCATCAGTACTATCGATTCCTTGTTAGATGCTGTGGTAGGTTAAAAAATGGCTCCTAAAAGTTGTACATGTTCTAATCCCCAGAACCTGTGAGTGTTATTTTATATGGCATAAATGAGTTTGCAGATATAATTAAGAATTTTGAAATGGGGAGATTATCTTGGATTGTCCAGAGAGCTCTAAATGCAATCACAAGTGTCCTTACAAGACAGAGAAAGGGGGAGATCTGACTGCAGAAGAGGAGAAGGCCAACGAGGTAGATTGGGGTGACGTAGACAAAGCTGAGGAATGCTGGCAGCCACCAAAAGCTGGATAAGACAAGAAATGCAGTCTCCTTTAAAACTTTCCAAGGAAGCACAGCCCTGTCGTCTCCTTGATTTGGGCCCAGAGTTATACTGATTTGAACTTCTGGCCTCCAGAACTGTGAGAAAATACATTTCTGGTTTTGTTTGTTTGTTTGTTTTTTGTTTTTCTGAGATGGAACTCTGTTGCCAGGCTGGAGTACAGTGTCATGATCTTGGCTCACTGCAACCTCCGCCTCCCAGGTTCAAGCAATTCTTCTGCCTCAGCCTCCTGAGTAGCTGGGACTACAGACACTTGCCACCATGGTCAGCTAATTTTTGTATTTTTAGTAAAGACGGAGTTTCCCCATGTTGGCTAAAGCCTCTCCAGCCATGCAGAACCGTGAGTCAATTAACCTCTTTTCTTTATGAATTACCCAGTCTCAGGTGTTTTTTCATAGCAGCATGAGAACAGACTAATATACAGATGCTTTAATTTTATGGAGGGGTAGGAGCCAGGAAACTTATGGCTTCATTCTCTGGAGGCATAAAGCATGATTTCAGGTGACCAGCAAGAGCCAGAATAAGGAAAAAAAAAAGGCTATCCTAAGGCCCTACAACCAATAAACACTAGAGAAATGTATACCAGGTATAGCACAAGTAAAGGAAGGAATCAAGAAAATCATGGAGGTAATTATCTCCAAATTATTATCTTGCTTAAATTATCTGAAAAACTAAGGTCAAAAATGTTTTTTTCCTTGAATTGTCTAAGAAACAGAGTTGTTTGTTTATTCACTATGTAGAATTGATGCAGTGTACTCGGAGTGTTCTGTATGCTGCCTTGAGATTCTGAACACAGTCTATCAGAACTAGTTTAGAATTGGCTGGTATTAGCAATTTTTCCTCATGAGAGAACTGTTTTTCTTTTTTCCCTTGATATCACTTCCCTGGATATGATTCTTAGGTTCTGTTATACATTTTTCTTAATTTTGATGCCATCTTTGAAATAGTTTTATTTATTAACTTCACTTACTCTCCTTTCATCCATCTGTTCCTTTTCAAACCACCTATTAAATTTTTTACTAAGCGCACAGTATAGGATAGTCAGTTAGGTCCCAGATTTGCCAAACAAAATAAGATCCCTGTACGCCAGAACATTAAAATAGGGAAATCTAGGCATGTATACAAATTAATAAAATTACAAAGTATAAGCCACAAAAGGTACTGATTTTTAAAGCTAATATTAAAAAGCAAAATCTTAAATCAATAATCTAAGCTTCTACCTTAAGAAAACAGGAAAAGAACAAATAATCCCAAGGTAAGCAGAAAGAAGGAATTAATACAGGCAAGAGCAGAAATCAACAAAATTAAAAACAAAAAAATAGAGAAAATCAATAAAACTAAAAGTTGATTCTTTGAAAGGATCAATAAATATGACAAACCTCTAGCAAGACTGACAAAGAAGACACATTTTATTATATCAGAAATGAAAAAAGGATATCACTAAAGACTTCATTGACAATTTTAAAAAAATTTTATGCACATAAATTTGACAACTTAGATAAAATGGACCAAATCCTCAAAAGCCACAAACTACCAAAACTCAACCAAGAATAGGTAAAATGAATATCCTGTAGCTGTTAAAGGAATGGAATTTGTATTTTAAAAAAATCTCTTCCAAAATAAATCTCCATGCCCAGATGTTTTTAATGAGAAATTCAAACATATAAAGAAATAACACCAATTTTACAGCATTTTCCAGAAAATGAGAAAGCATTCCCCGCTCATTTTATGAAGCCAGCATTATTCTGATACCAAACCAGACAAAGACATTTCCAGTTGAGAAAACTACAGACCAACATCCTTTAATATGCAAAATATGCAAAATGTTCAACAATGTACAGTTGACACTTAAATAATACAGAGCTTACAAATGCCAACCACCCCTCCACAGTAGAAAATCTATCCATAACTTCTGACCTGACTCCCCCAAACTACTAATACCCTACTGTTGACAAGAAGCCTTATGGAACATAAACAGGAAATATTCTATATGTTATATATATTAATATACTGTATTCTAACAATAAAGTTAGAGAAAGGAAAATGTTATCATAAGGAAGAGAACATATAATTACTGTTCATTAAGTGAAAGTAGATCATCATAAAGGTCTTCATCCTCATTATCTTCATGTTGAGTAGGCTGAGAAGGAGGTAGAAGAAGAGAAGTTGTCTTGCTGTCTCAAGAGTAGCAGAGGAGAAGAGGCAGGCACAGTTAGTATAACTATGGAAATACACTATAATTTTTTTTTCTAGACAAGGTCTTCCTCCATCACCCAGGCTGGAGTGCAGTGGTGCAATCATAGCTCACTGCAGCCTCTAACTCCTGGGCTCAAGTGATCCTTTCAGGCCTCAGCCTCCTGAGTGCTGGGACTACAGGCATGTACCACCATGCCCAGCTGATTTTATTTTTTTGTAGAGACAATGTTTTACTATGTTGCTCTGGCTGATCTTGAACTCTTGTCCTCAAGTAGTCCTCAATTAATCCTTCCATCTCAGCCTCCTACAGTGCTGAGATACATGCCTGAGCCACCACACCCGGCTACACTGTAATTTTTGTCTGACTTTTTTGCTTTTTCATTTCTCTAAAAATATTTCTATACAGTACCAATCCATATCCATCTTCCACTGTTTGCTTTAGTTTCAGTGCACATTTCATAAAAGGGTCCATTTCACAAAAGAAGTAAAAAGTGGTCTTGAATAATCAGGACCCTTATGACAGACTGTCTCATCATGTCAGTTCATTTCCTGGCACTGCTGCTTCTATGTCTTCTTCCTTATCATTTGGCACTGGTTCAGAATCACTCAACTCTCTCCTGTTGTCTTGTGTTAACTCCTCTGGTGTGTTGTCTTGAATTTCTCCAATATCCATATCTTAAAATCTTTCACCTCTCACTTTTTTTTTTGCCATATCCACGTCTTCATTTCTTTGATTGGCTCTGTCATAAATTCTGTGAAATGAAGCACAACATCTGGACACAGTTTTCTCCATCAGGAATTTACTGTTCCAGGTTTGATGGCTTTCACGGCTTTTTCTGTAGAATCATCAATGGTATTAACCTTATAGAATTTTATGATGTCCTTTTGTTATTATTGTTTTAATCTTTCAATCTTTTATTTTTATATAGTTTTCTAAAAGCCCATCTCAGCTTCAAATCATTCTTTCTTTCTATTGGGGTTCTCATTCATACTGCTGACATTCCTTTCCACCGAGTACCAACCATGTATGATGAGCCTTAAAGGCCCTTATGACCCCCAGTCTATAGGTTGAATTAGGAACCTTGCTTTGGGCAGCAAGTAGGCCTCATTGACACCTTCATGTTGAATCACAGGGTTCTGGGTGGCTGGGGCATTGTGCTAGATCCAAAGAACTTTAAAAGGTGGTTTCTTACTGGCTAGGTACTTCCTGACTTCAGTGATAAAGCATTGATGGAACCAATCCAGAAAAAGGGTTCTCATTGTCCAGACCTTCTTGTTGTACAACCAAAAGACTAGCAGCTGGTGTTCATCTTTTCCCTTCAAGGCTGGGCAGGGTAGCGTGTTATGGGGGGAGAGTTTAGTAGCTTTATAGATAAGGGCAATCTTGATCATAAACATGACTGTGGGAAGTATCCAAGATGGATAAATAGGAAAAGCTCTGTAGTACAGTTCCCAGCGGGAACACAGAGGGTGAGTGAGCACCGCATTTACAAACAAGTTTTTACTGTCCACAGACCAGGAAATTCCCGGGCTGAAAAGCACCACGAGTTTCCAGCATGGCTGTTTCAGCTGGTGGAGCAGGGCTCTGCACAAAAACTCACACAAATCTGGGCAGCCATTTCAACTGGCACCTGGAACAACTGGGAGACACAGTTGCCCATTCAACTGAAAAAAGGGGGGCTGAAACAGGGAGCCAGGTGAGCTGGCTTGGCAGGTCCCACACCCAGAAAGACCAGCAATCTGAAATGCTCTGGATTGAGAGTTTCACAGCAAGCACGGCTGGACCCAGGACAGTCCAGCTCTGTGAGGGGAAGGGCGCCTTCCATTACTGAGGCAGTCTGCCATTTCCAAGGCAGTCAGCCATTACCAAGGCAATGCGCCATTACTGAGGCAGTCCGCCATTACCGAGGCAGTCTGCCATTACTGAGGCAGAATGCCATTACCAAAGCAGTTCTAACTATATCTCTTAAACAAAACCACAAGGAAGTTCACACAGCAGCTCGGCACAGCCCACAGCAGCTCAGCGATACCTCTGCTGGCAGACTGTGATTAGGCTACCTCCTGGCTGGGCAGAGCATCTCTGAAAAAAGGCAGCAGCACATCAGAAACTTATAAATAAAGCCCCACATTCCCAGGATGGAGCACCAAGGAAAAAAGGGGGTTATGAGTTCCACTACAGCAGACTTAAATGTACCTGCCCAGCAGCTCTGATTGGAGCAATGGAGCTCACAGCTCAGCACTTGAGCTCCTATAAGGGACAGACAGTCTCCTCAAGCAGCTCCCCAATCCCGTATATCCAAAGAGACACTTCATAAAGGAGAGCTCAGGCTGACATCTGGCAGGTATACTTCTGGTAGGAAGATAACAGAAGAAGAAACAGGCAGCAACCCTTACTGTTCTGCAGCCACCACAGGTGATCGCCAGGCAAGCAGGGTCTGAAGTAGACCTCCAGCAGTCCTACAGCAGACAGCCTTGTTAAAAGGAAAACTAAAAAACAGAAAGAAATAACTTCATCATCAACAAAAAGGATGTCCACTCAGAGATCCTATCCAAGTCACCAACTACAAAGAGCACAGGTAGATAGATCCACAAAGATGGGAAGAAACCAGTGCAAAGAGGATGAAGACACCCAAAACCAGAACGCCTGTATCCTCCAAGGGATCACAACTCCACACCAGCAAGGGAACAAAGCTGGATGGAGAATGAGTCTGATGAACTGACAGAAACAGGCTTCATAAAGTGGGTAATAACAAACTTCTCTGAGCTAAAAGAACATGTTCTAACCCAATGCAAAGAAATTGAACCTTGAAAAAAGGTTTGATGAAATGCTAATGACAATAAACAGCTTAGAGAAGAATATAAATGACCTGATGGAGCTGAAAAACACAACACGAGAACTTTGAGAAGCATACACAAGTTTCAATAGCCAAATCAACCAAGCAGAAGAAAGGATATCAGAGATTGAAGATCAACTCAATGAAATAAAAGGAGAAGACAAGATTAGAGAAAAGAGAGTAAAAAGAAATGAACAGTCCAAGGTAGATGGATCATGAGGTCAAGAGATCAAGACCATCCTGGTCAACATGATGAAACCCCATCTCTATTAAAAATACAAAAAATTAGCTGGGCACAGTGGTGCATGCCTGTAATCCCAGCTACTCAGGAGGCTGAGGCAGGAAAACTGCCTGAACCCAGGAGGCTGAGGTTGCGGTGAGCTGAGATCGCACCATTGCACTCCAGCCTCGGTAACAAGAGCAAAACTCCGTCTCAAAAAAAAAGAAATGAACAAAGCCTCCAAGAAATATGGGATTATGTGAAAAGACCTACTCTACGTTTGATAGATGTACCTGAATGTGATGGAGACAATGAATCCAAGCTGGAAAACACTCTTCAGGATATTATCCAGGAGAACTTCCCCAACCTAGCAAGGCAGGCCAATATTCAAGTCCAGGAAATACAGAGAACAGCACAAAGATATTCCTCAAAAAGAACAACCCCAAGGCACATAATTATCAGGTTCACCAGGGTTGAAATGAAGGAAAAAATGCTAAGGGCAGCCAGACAGAAAGGCTGGGTTACCCACAAAGGGAAGCCCATCAGACTCACAGTGGATCTCTCAGCAGAAACCCTACAAGTCTGAAGAGAGTGGGGGCCAATATTCAACATCCTTAAAGAAAAGAACTTTCAACCTAGAATTTCATATCCAGCCAAACTAAGCTTCAAAGTGAAGGAGAAATAAAATCCTTTAGAAACAAGCAATTGCTCAGAGATTTTGTCACCATGAGGCCTGCTTTACAAGAGCTCCTGAAAGAAGCATGAAACATAGAAAGGAACAACCAGTGCCAGCCACTCAAAAAATGTACCAAATGGTAAAGAGCATCGAAACAATGAAAAAACTGCATCAACTAATGGCCAAAGCAACCAGCTAGCATCAAAATGGCAGGATCAAATTCACACATAACAATATTAACCCTAAATGTAAATGGGCTAAATGCCCCAGTCAAAAGACACAGACTGGCAAACTGGATAAAAAGTCAAAACCCATCAGTGTGCTGTATCCAGGAAACCCATCTCATGTGCAAGGATACACATAGGCTCAAAATAAAGATTTACCAAGCAAATGGAGAGCAAAAACAAAAGCAGGAGTTACAATCCTAGTCTCTGATAAAATAGACTTTAAACCAACAAGATCAAAAGAGATAAAGAGGGGCATTATAATGGTAAAAGGATAAATGGAACAAGAAGAGCTAATGATCTTAAATATATACCTACCCAATACAGGAGCACCCAGCTACATAAAGCTAGTTCTTAATGACCTACAAAGAGACTTAGACTCCTACACAATAATAGTGGGAGACATTAACACTCCACTGTCAATATTAGACAGATCAATGAGACAGAAAATTAACAAGGATATCCAGGACTTGAGCTTAGATCTGGACCAAGCAAACCTAATAGACATTTACAGAACTCACCACCCCAAATCCACAGAATATACATTCTTCTCAGCACCACATCACACCTACTCTAAAATTGACCACATAATTGGACGTAAATCACTCCTCAGCAAATGAAAAAGAATGGAAATCATAAGAAACAGTCTCTCAGACCACAGTGCAATCAAATTAGAACTTGGGGTTAGGAAACTAACTGAGAACTACACAACTTCATGGAAACTGAACAACTGGCTCTTGAATGTTGACTGGATAAACAATAAAATGAAGGCAGAAATAAAGATGTTCTTTGAAACCAATGAGAATGAATACACAATGTACCAGAATCTCTGGGACACATTTTGAGAATTGTCTGAAGAAAAATTTATACCAATAAATGCCCACATGAGAAGCAAGGAAAGATCTAAAATCAACACCCTATCATCAAAATTGAAAGAGCCAGAGGAGCAAGATCAAAAAAACTCAAAAGCTAACAGAAGACAAGAAATAACTGAGATCAGAGCAGAACTGAAGGAGACAGAGACATAAAAAACCCTCCAAAAAATTAATAAATCCAGGAGCTGGTTTTTTCTTTTTTAAAAGATCAACAAAATAGACCATTAGCCAGATTAATAAAAGAGAGCATAATTAAATAGGCACAATAAAAAAATGATAAAGGGGATATCACCACAGATTTCACAGAAATACAAACTACTATCAGAGATTACTACAAACAACTCTATGCACATAAACCAGTAAACCTGGAAGAAATGGATACACTTCTGGACACTTGCACCCTCTCAAGCCTAAACCAGGAAGAAGTCGAAACCCTGAATAGACCAATAACGAGGGCTGAAGTTGAGGCAGCAACTAATAGCCTACCCACCAAAAAAAGCCCAGTCCAGATGGGTTCACAGCTGAATTCTACCAGACATACAAACAGGAGCTGTTGCCACTCCTTCTGAAACTATTCCAAACAATCCAAAAAGAGGGAATCCCTCCCAAATCATTTTATGAGACCAACATCATCCTGAAAAAAAAAACAGGCAGAAAACTTTCAACAAGAAAAGAAAACTTCAGGCCAATAACCATGTTGAACACAGATGCAATAATCTTCAATACAATACTGGCAAACCAATTGCAAAAAGCTTATCCATCATGATCAAGTAGGCTTCTTCCCAGGGATATAAGGCTGGTTCAACATATGCAAGTCTATAAACATAATTCACCTCATAAACAGAACCAAAGACAAAAGCCACGATTATCTCAATAGATTCAGAGAAGGCCTTTGACAAAGTTCAACAGCCTTTATGCTAAAAACTCTCAATAAACTAGGTATTGATGAAATGTATCTGAAAATAATAAAAGCTATTTATGACAGACTCACAGCTAATATCAAACTGAATGGGCAAAAACTGGGGGCATTCCCCTTGAAATCTGGCACTAGAAGAGGATGCCCTCTCTCACCACTCCTATTCAATATAGTATTGGAAGTTCTAGCTAAAGCAATCAGGCAAGAAAAAGAAATAAAGGGTATTCAGTTAGGAAAGGAGGAAGTCAAATTGTCTCTATTTACAGATGACATGATTGTATATTTAGAAGACCCCATGGTCTCAGTCCAAAATCTCCTGAAACTGATAAGCAACTTCAGCAAAGTCTCAGGATACAAAATCAATGTGCAGAAATCACAAGCATTCCTATATACCAATAACAAACTTAAAGAGAGCCAAACCAAGAACAAACTGCCATTCACAATTGCTACAAAGAGAATAAAATACCCAGGAATACAACTAACAAAGGATGTAAAGGACCTCTTCAAGGAGAACTACAAATTACTGCTCAATGAAATAAGAGAGGACACAGATGGAAAAACATTCCTTGCTCATGATTAGGAAAAATCAATATTGTGAAAACGGCCATACTGCCCAGAGTATTTTATAGATTCAATGCTATCCCCTTCAAGCTACCTATGACCCTCTTCACAGAACTGGAAAAAACCACTGTAAACTTCATATGGAACCAAAAGAGAGCACACATAGCCAAGACAATTCTAACCAAAAAGAACAAAGCTGGAGGCATCACGCTACCTGACTTCAAACTATACTACAAGGCTGTGGTAATCAAAACAGTATGGTACTGGTCCCAAAACAGAGATATAGAACAATGGAAGAGAAAAAAGTCCTCAGGGGCAACACCACACATCTACAACTATCTCATCTTTGACAAACCTGACAAAAACAAGCAATGGGGAGAGGATTCCCTGTTTAATAAATGGTGTTGGGAAAACTGGCTAGCCATGTGCAGAAAGCAGAAACTGGACCCCTTCCTGACACCTTACACTAAAACTGACTCCAGATGGATTAAAGACTTAAACATAAGACCTAACACCGTAAAAACCCTAGAAGAAAACCTAGGCAAAACCATTCAGGACATAGGCATAGGCAAGACTTCATGACTAAAACACTGAAAGCATTGGCAACAGAAGCCAAAATAGACAAATGGGACCTAATTAAACTCCAGAGCTTCTGCACAGCAAAACAATCATTAGAGTGAACTGGCAACCAACAGAATGGAAAAAAAATTTTGCAATCTACCCATCAGACAAAGGGCTAATATCCAGAATCTACAAAGAACTTAAACATATTTACAAGAAAAAAACAAACCCATTCAAAAGTGGTTGAAGGACATGAACAGACACTTTTCAAAAGAAGACATATATGAGGCCAATAAACATGAAAAAAATGCTCATCACTGGTCATTAGAGAAATGCAAATCAAAACCACACTGAGATGCTATCTCACACTAGTTAGAATGGCGATCATTAAAAAATCTGAAGACCACAGATGCTGGAGAGGATGTGGAGAAATAGGAACACTTTTATGCTGTTAGTGGGAGTGTAACTTAGTTCAACCATTTGGAAGACAATGTGGCGATTCCTTAAGGACATAGAAATAGAAATTCCATTTGACCCAGCAATCCCATTTACTGGGTATATATCCAAAGGATTGTAAATCATTCTATTATAAAGACACATGCACATGTGTGTTAATTACAGCACTGTTTACAATAGCAAAGACCTGGAACCAACCCAAATGCCCATCGATGATAGACTGGACAGGGCAAATGTGGCACATATAGAATATTATGCAGCCATAAAAAACGATGAGTTCGTGTCCTTTGTAGGGACATGGATGAATCTGGAAACCATCATTTTCAGCAAACTGACACAAGAACGGAAAATCAAACACTGCATGTTCTCACTCATAGGTGGGTATTGAACAATGAGGACACATGGACACAGGGAAGGGAGCATCATACATTGGGGTCTATCGATGGAGACTAGGGGAGGGACAGTGGGGGGTAGGGAGTCAGGGAGGGATAACATGGGGAGAAATTCCAGATATAGGTGATGGGGGGATGGAGGCAGCAAACCCCACTGCATATGTACCTATGCAACAATCCTGCATGTTCTGTATGTGTACCCCAGAACCTAAAGTACAATTATATATATATACATATATATATATGTATGACTGCATTCATAAAATGGTAGAGTTTGTTATCCCTTCCTGCCTTAAATCCTGGTGCTTGCTTCTCTTCCTTACTAATAAATGTCTTTCGTGGCATGTTTTTCCAGAATAGGGCACTCTGTTGGCAGAAGCTATTTCTCCTATTATCTTGACACTTTTTAAGTCAAACCTCTTTCAAAAATTATCAAACCACACTTTGCTGGCATTAAATTTTTGAGCTTTAGGTCTTTAAACTTCCTTTTGCATGGCCAGGCACAGTGGCTCATGCCTGTAATCCCAGCAGTTTGGGAGGCCAAGGTGACTGGATTATCTAAGGTCAGGAGTTCAAGACCAGCCTGGCCAACATGGTGAAATCCCGTCTCTACCAAGAACACAAAAATTAGCCAGGCCTGGTAGCACACGCCTGTAGTCCCAGTTTCTTGGGAGGCTGAGGCAGGAGAATTGCTTGAACCCAGAAGGCAGAGGTTTCAGTGAGTCGAGATGGCACCACTCACTCCAGCCTGGGTGGCAGTGAGACTTTGTCTCAAAAAAAAAAAACCAAAAACAAAAACTTCCTTTTGCTTTGTCATATAATGACTTCACTTTTTTTGAATCCTGTTTATTTATAGGTATGACTTTCTTATAGTAATCCCACACACACATAAAAGCTGCATTTCCAATAGGAGATGAAAAGGTATTTTGCAAAAAGGGCAAGGTTTTCATGCCTGCTGGCATAGTTGAAGCAACAGTGTCATGAATTAACTTTTCTATTTTTACAGTGGTCCTTATGTTTTATTCATTTATCTTGAAATGGCAGGCAACCACATCTGCAAACCTCAATCCACGATGCATATCAAGCAATTCAGCTTTTTCTTGTAATGTCATGACTTTGCTGTGCTTCTTAGGAGCACTTCCAGCATCACTAATGGCACTTTGAATGGGTCACTTAGGAGCACTTCCAGTGTCACTAGTGGCAACTTGAATGGGTCCCACAGTGTTAGACAAGGTTTACAATATTGCGTTAAATACAATGAAAAATATGTAAGAACCATGAGATCATTTCTTTACCTTCATATGCAATTTACTGGAGAGACAAACTGCTCACACAGAGTTTAACATCACATCACGTGGTACTTTCAGTGGATATTTACAACACTTGAGTTCACTGCAATAGCAACAGGAGGTAGCTATGAAATTACTACAGTTGTGCAATATGTACTACAGTTAATTTTATAGTTATGATTTAATACTTTATCTTTATGTTTAATTTCTCTTGATTGTGAATGGCACCATGTGTAGTCTCTGTTTATGTGCATAAGTTTTGATAAATTTTAACTTTTTATAATAGATTTTATGTATGTGTATATTTTATGTAGTAAATTATAAAGCAGGTCACTATCTATATATTTTATGCACTCATGACATACCTTTTTCTTGCTCTTTGTGTATTTCTAGGCTATGCAGTGAGTTTTTTCAAAATGTTGCAAATCTCCAAAAACTTTTCCAATGTATTTATTGAAAAAAATCCACATATACATGGACTCATGCCGTTCAAACCCAGTGTTGTTCAAGGGTCAACTGTATTAGCAAATTAAAATCCACAATATATAAAAAGAATAACATATCACAATTAAGTGGAATTTATCCTGGAAATGAAGGCTGGTTCAAATTTGAAAATCAATCAGTATAAAATACCATACTAACAGTCTAAAGAAGAAAAACCAACCATATAACCACATCAATTGGGGTAGAAAAAAATATTTGACAACATTGAGCTTCCACTTTTTTTTTTTTTTTAAGAGATAGGATTCTTGAATGCTCAGGATCAAGTGATCCTCCTGTGTCAGCCTCCTGAGTAGCTAAGACTACAGGCACAATGCACTGCTACTGGCTCAGCATCCATTCTTAATAAAAACTCTCAGCAAACTAAAGAGAAGGAACTTCTGGAACCTAATTAAGGGCATCTACAAAAACATCCACAGCTAACATAAAATTAGTGGTAAAAGACTGAATGCTTTTCCCACTTGAGCAAGAAAAGGATATCCACTGTCATTGTTCTTAGACATCCTAATGGGAAGTCTTAGCCAATTCAATAAGGCAAGAAAAAAGACATAAAAGGCATATGGATAGGAAAGGAAGACATGAAACTGTCCTTATTTGCAGATTACATGCTTTTCTAAGTAGAAAATCCCAAGGAATCTATAAAACAAAATTTTTTAAAAAACCTTCCTAGGACAAATAAATTGTTTAGCAAGGATCTCAGGATATAAAGCCAACACATAAAAATCAATAATATTGTTACATATTAGCAATGCACAGCTGAAAAATGAAGTAAAAATAGAAACACTTCATAAAAATAAAATATTTAGGTATAAATCTAATAAAGGATATATAGGATCTGTATGCTGAAAACTACAAAATGCTGATGAAAGAAATAAAGCTAAATAAGTGGAGAGCAATACCATGTTCATGAATGGGAAGAGTCAACACAATAAACGTATCAATCCCTCCAAATGATCAATACAGTTAACACAATACTAGTTAAAATCTCAGCAGGATTTTTTTTTGTATATATAACCAAGCCAGTTCTGAAATTTATATGAAAAGGGAAGGAAACTAAAATAGCTAAGATGATTTTAGAAAAAAACAATAAAACTGGAAAAAGCATGTTACCTGAATATAAGACTTACAATGAAGCCACTGTAATCAGGACAATGTAGTATTAGTGAAGGGAAAGACACATCAATTGATGGTACAGAATAGAGTTCAGAAATAGACTCATGCAAAGATAAGATTCTATATGAGCACTGCATTTTTCAACAAAGGTGCAAAAACAATTTAATGGAAAAAAGATAATGTTTTCAACAAATGATACTGAAATAACTGACATCCCTATGAAGAAAAATGGACCTCAGGCCGGGCATGGTGGCTCACACCTGTAATCCCAACACTTTAGGAGGCCAAGGTGGGCGGATCACATGAGGTCGGGAGTTTGAGACCAGCCAGACCAACATGGAGAAACCCTGTCTCTACTAAAAATACAAAATTCGTCAGGTGTGGTGGCGCATGTCTGTAATCCCAGATACTCAGGAGGCTGAGGCAGGAGAATTGCCTGAACCCAGGAGGCGGAGGTTGTAGTGAGCCCAGATCGCGCCATTGCACTCCAGCCTGGGCAATAAGAGCGAAACTCTGTCTCAAAAAAAAATATATACACACACACACACATACACACACACACACATATATATATATGGACCTCAACCTAAACCTCAGAACTCATACAAAAATTAACTCATGTAACTGTACAAAGTAAAACTATACAACTTTTAGAAGAAAGCAGAAGAAAAATCTTTGTGACCTGGGGTTAGACAGCAACTTCTAACACCAAGTGCATAATCCATTAAAGGAAAAACTGATTAATTGGACTTCCTCAAAATTAAAAACTTTCACTCTTCATATGATCCAGTTAAGAGAATAAAAAGACTATCTACAGAAGAGAGGAAAATACTTTCAAATAACATAACCAATAAAAGACAGATCCAGAATTTATAAAGAATCAAAGCTGGGTGCAGTGGCTCATGCCTGTAATCTCAGCAGTTTGGGAGGCTGAGGCAGGTGGATCACCTGAGGCTGGGAGTTCACTTGCGGTTGGAATGCACCATCATCACCTCCTGGGTGTGGTAGTGCATTCCCGTAATCCCAGCTACCTGGGAGGCTGAGGCAGGAGAATCACTTGAAACAGGAGGAGAAAGTTGTGGTGAGGAGAGATCAAACCATTGCATTCCAGCCTGGGCAACAAGAGCAAAACTCCATATCAAAAAAAAAAAAAAAGAAAAAGAAAAAGAAATAAAAACTTAATTTCAAATGGGCAAAAGGCTTGAAGAAGCACCTCACCAAAAAGTATGTTATATATACAGATGACAAGCCTATGAAAAGTTGTTCAACATCATTAGCCATTAGGGAAATATAAACTAAAATCACAATGAGATGCCACTGCACATCTATTAGAATGGCTAAAATAAAAAATGGAGACGATACCAAGTGCTGATAAGGATGCAGAACAACTGGAATTCTCCTACAAGGCTGATGGAAATGCAAAATGGTACAGCCAATCTGGAAGACACTTTGGCAGTTTCTTAAAAAGTCAAAGGTATATCTACCATAAGAACCAGCAGTACCACCAGTGGGTATGTACTGTAGAGAACTAAAAAGTTATGTTCATGTAAAAATCTGTACATGAACTTTATAGCAGTTCTATTAATATTTGCCAAAAGCTGGAAACCATCCAGTGGATGAATGCATAAACAAACTATAATACAATCATATAATAAAATACTACTCAGCAATAAAGGGAACAAACTATTGATACATACAACTTGGATGGTAATCAAAAGCATTATGCTGAATAAAAGGATTCAGTTTCAAAAGGTTACATACTGCATGATTCCACTTACATAACATTCTCAAAAACAAAACTACAGTGATGGAGAATAGTGGTTTCCAGGGGATAGGAGTATGCGTAGAGGTAAGGTCATGGGGATGTGACTATAAGAAATAGTGTGAGGGAGTTTTCTGGTAATGACACTGCTCTGTATCCTGACTGTGGTGGTAGTTATATGAATCTATACATGTGTCAAATTCATAGAATTGTGAAATCTCCCCCCCAACCCACCAAAAAAGGGTCAAATTTACTGTATGATAACTTTTGATCTGAAATAAAACCCCACAGGAAAAAAAGTATTAGTTTAAAAATAGAAGTTCAAGAAGTAGGACAGTTTCTTCTGGGTTGAGAAAAAAAGGTTTCATGAAGGATGAGGCATTTAAAAAATGTATGTTGGAGGTACAGCCTGTAATACTTGTTCACAATCTATCTTCTCTGATAGACAATGTATAATGAGGGCAGGAGCAACGTCTGGCTTGTTCACCGCTATATAAGCAATAATTAAAGCAGTACTTTGCACACATTAGGCACTCAATTTGTATATGATTGATTTATTGCTTATGATATTAATAGGCAGAGATACAATAACATTCTAGGAAAAGTGAAAAACATTAGAAAATACCTTAAATTTCCATTTCCTCTCCTCTTTCTAAATCCCTCCTATTTCTTCAAGGTCACTTAAAGTTCAGTTACAGAATCAGGTTCCCCTGATTCTTCCAGCCGACATTTATTTTTCCAACTTTTCCAAACTTGCTCTATCAAACTTAGTCTAACATTTTAGTGTAGTACTACTTAGTATTTTAAAGATTATGCCTCATTTCCTTTAATAGTTATTAAAACATGTCTTTTTATATTACTTAAATTTTAAAATACATTATATTACATGAATAAAAGCAAATCAAAGCACTATTTAGCTTCAAAGTAAACTGCATGCCTCAATCCTCCAACAGATTTTCCTCTACTCCTATGTCCCCTAAATTGGTCAAGTCTTCCCCTCCTCTTCTGTTTCCATATTCACATCATTAGTTTAATTCTTAATGATTGGCATTTATTAATTTCAGATTTAATGTTATTCCCTAACAGGTTAACATGTAACTCATTTCCTTAGCTTTCTTTTCCTGAGGACAGAGATGATACCTACTGCTTATTTATTATAACTAATTAATATGTAATAGATACATGCTAATTGGATGTCCCTGTGTACTATTCCCTAGCCTATTCTACTCCTATTTTTTACTTCTCTACTAAGAAAAAACTTTTTTTGTTTTTTTCCAAAAGCCAATTCTGGACACTTTTGTAATGGATATTTTAAAAGGCAGAGATAAATTTTCTTTTTAGTAATTCTGCATATTATATCAGAGATTGCCAGAAAGCTTACAATACTGGCATTCTGGCACCATTTCATTTTCATAACACGCTGATATTAGCTTGAATTAGATACGTGAACTTAAGCTGGCCTTGAATTTAACTTGCTTACTCTTGTGTTCAATTGGAAAGTTAAGAATACAATTAAGAATGTTCAAATGTTGAATATTTATCAACTCTGTCTAGAAAAAGTTGAAAAATATTTAATATTTGAGAAATGGAACCATATTCCAACTCCTTTATCGTATATAAGTCTTTTTTGTTAAACATTCATATATATTTTTAGAAATGTATTGGGTGAAAAAGAGTACTTTATTTTTGAGACAGAGTCTCCCTGTCGCCCAGGCTTGAATGCAGTG